AAGAATACTTACAAAACATTGTTTTAAGCATAAAGGCAATCATTGTGCATGGTTCGGCATCAAAATAGCACAAAAGTAAGCTAAAAGGGATCAAAACAAAAGATCAAGTAATCACGTTTTCGTCGCGACGTGAAACCCCACGTTCTCACGTTCTCGACTTCAGGACAACCTCATGTCACAACGTGTTGTACATGCGCAGTGACATCTCCAAAGAAATGTCACGTTTCCGGTTGCCGTCGTGAGGCCGGCGACGTCTGTTGCTTAAGGTGCCTAATGAAGACTACGCGACGGGCCAACGCGACGCGCTCAGGAGGGTCTTCTGAAACTCCCTGACGAGAGACAACCTTTGAAGCGCAAGGAAAATTGACGAAAATTACTTATTCTAGGCATTCAAACTGGTGATAAATTAGCCAAACCACCGTTCTTTGTCGCATATTCTCGGCTTTGCCGTCACTGTCGCTATTCGGCAGCGGGAGGTTGTTGCTTGTCGCCATTTCATTTTAGGCTCTGTCGCTACTTTTGGGTCATGTCGCTTGTCGGAATTTACCCTGGCAGGGCCTCTCCCTCGGGATCTGGCCTAAGTCAACCTCGTCCCCAGGGCTTTTTCCTTTTTTAAGGGAAAAGCCCTGGGGACGAGGTTGGGCCTAAGTGTATAACTACAGATCTTCGAGATTTGTTATATAATTTTAGAAATTTGCAATGGATTTCGATAGCACTCAACTTTAAAAAAAAACTTTCGTACATTCTAGATTTTCACTTCTATTAAAAAATAACAACATGGCTTGAGGCTTTGTTGGAAAATTGGAGCAAGTTAGCACTTACAGTTACTGTATATTTATGGAAGTTAAAATTGCAAGCTGTACGTTTTCACAAGCAAAAACAAGGGATTTTCTAGCCTCCCACGCAGACGTTCTTAGGGGTTCGCCACGCGTTCCTGCCCGGCAGGAACGAGTGACAAACCCCTAAGAACGTCTGCGCGGCAGGCTAGGGGTTTTCTGGCCTTTACGAACGGAAATTCACGCAGAGTTATACTAACTCGTAGCATGTTCCGATAAATATCGCAGCCAAACGAGTCGCGCGTAGTGACAGACGCCTGCCAAACAAGAGGCTCTGAGTAGACGATACTCATGCGCATCGTCGAAATTCCTTTGCCACCAATCAATGAAATAAACAGAATGCTGACCAATATATGCCAACGACTAGCCTGTTGTTGTTGTTGTAAGCTATTCCCCATTTTCACTTCCTTGCACGCCTTACTGAAAATACAGTGCCGTAGCAAGGTTAGATTTAGAGGGGGGGGGGCAGTCACGAGCGCCGAGGACGCGAGCTGCTAGGGGGGTCAGAGGGCATGCTCCTTCTAAAGGTTTTGAAATATAGGGTCTCTGAAATAGCATTTTCAGCCTTCCGAGAGCATCAATTTCCAGCAATTTTTAGGTGACAAAAATCATTGAAGCCATAAATGAATAATTTTCACGCTTTATCGAACGGAAATGGACACATTGAACAGAAGAGTAGCGTGGAGAACGTGGCCGCTGAACGTGCCTGTCAAAATTATTGGGGGGGGGGCAAATTTCCCTCCGTATACAGCTATTTCGAGAAAGGTTGTCGGAAAAAGTGCACGCGACAATCCCGAAAGGCATTGTGGGTGGTTTTGAGTTCTCTGTTCTTCAAAGAAATTTGAAAGAATTGGCACGAACGGCCATGGAAAAGTGTTTTCGAGTGCTAAAGGAAAGCAACAAAAGTAGGTTCGATAGCTACAGTCGTCAGGAAACATTGTATTGATCATATCCCATGCATAGTACCTTTCGCGATTGTCGCGTGCACATTTTTTCCGACAACCTTTCTCGAAATAGCTGCATCATCCTCGGAGACCCAGGGGCAGTCAGTCGGGAAGGGAGAAAAGGTGCGGCAGAAGTTTTCAAGCATGCTTGAAAACTTTTGCCGCGCCTTTTCTCCCGGCCCAACTGACTGCCCCTGGGTCTCCGAGGATGTCCGTATATAAGCCCCTCCGAATATAAGCCCCTCCAAAAATAAGCTTAGTTGCGTATGAGTAATAATCTGGTAATATTATTTGCCAAACAATCGCCTCGTGGTTGAGCTTGAGAACTTCAACATGACAAACAATTCCAACGATCATTCGGCTTTCGATTTACAATCCCACCGACCTCATTGGATTTCTCTAGTTCTTCGGCAAACCCACATAGTCTTGCGCTTACGGCGCTGAATGTTGTTTCGTCGTTGGATGGACAGAATAAAAGCTTTTCGTCACATCCTCCTCATTTGTAAGGATATAAGCCCCATTAGCTGAATAAAACTCCTTTTCTTTTGCAAAAATACGGCGAGAAGGTGATTATTTCACACTTTTGCAATTTAAATCCTCTGAATTAGCGGTTTAGATTGCCGTTTTTGCGGTTCATTAATTAATCTTATCCTCGATAGCATTCTTTATAGAAAAAATACTAATAAGGATGACATTTTATTTCATTGCAAGTGACTATGA